CCTGGGAGGATGGCCTCCTTTGCTTGCCGCGTCGACGTGGCTGGCTCCATCGGATGCGACCCGCTCCTAGGAAACTCCCATTCGAATTGGAAGTTCCGGATACTTTGATAGATTTTCGGGGCACTCCAGCGAAAGGATCAGAGGTCCTGAATTCTGAGAGCACGATAAATCCGGGAAGCTCGATTGGAATCCGCATTTGGTTTTCTCGGAGCGAACTCACCTCAGGGCTCGGATCCTGTTCTTCCGAAAAGATATGGATCGCTCTCCTCGTCAAGGGTCCATGTTCAGTTGTCGCCTCGTGCCATTGTACTTATTCCACAAGATTCTCAACATGGGAGGCAAGGATATGCGGACTCGCCCTGGTTTTCCGCAGCTTGCTCCCCGCGGATCCAAAGTTGAATTCAAAGCGATGAATGCTCGTTTCGTCTTTTCAGAATGACTTCACGCTACCGATCCTACTTACGACTGAAATGAAGTTCTCTCGCCACTGTGGTGGTGACTACGTCTGAAGTCATGCACGTGCATGACTAGAGTCCAATCGAATCCTTCCTCGAGAAATCCGACCTGGATGAGCTGACTGACTGAGACATTCACCTCCACTCGCATATCGTCGCGGAGGACTATTCCCCTCTCTCCGGTAGTCTGCATCTAGACAGGGATCTTCATCGGCAGGCATCCGCTCTTTTTTCTTCGAAGGAGGCGCGAAGGGATTTGAGTCGCCGTGGGGGTCCACGGCTTCAAAAGATTTAGTAGCACCGTCATATACCCTGGAAGAGTGTGCCGGTTTCTCAAAAATACTGGCTTCCATTGCATATGATCCGCGAGCTCGAAATCTGCCGATGATGCATCGGACCTGGAGCAGAGAACACACATATTCTTCCAGAAGACAAAAGTTCCTTGAATCGGCATGATCCTCGGATTTTTGTTCCGAGGCTGGATTCGAGTGATGATGGGAACGGGCCGAGTACGTATCGATCTGTAGGAATCCTCATGAGAGACTTCCTTTGGTAGAGCGACTTCTCTCCTCCGCGAGCTCTTGGCGAACAGCGGTGTTTTTATCACGCGCACACAGCTGAGGCGGGTCAGAGAAGCCCGACCCCTCGCTCCCTTGATTGATTTGCAATTCGACTCATCTTTCTGAGACCGGAACGGCGCAGAATTTCCCTGCCATGAGCAAAGCGATACATCGAATCGAAGGAGGACCTTCCCGGATTGAATGCTGTCATCCCATACGATGCCAAGGAAAGTTTCCATGACGCCTTCCCGAGCATCCAATAAACTTGAAAATCTGGCACGTGGACTTCAAGAGCATCTGTTTGAGTAGGATTCTGCGCTTAGACTGTCCTCTATAACAGCAAAGATCCGGCGCGCTCTGGTCCGTGGAGCAGGAGGTTTTGAGCAGAATTTTCGGATCGGGTCCGGCCCGATTCCGAGATACGGTGTCGACACGGGGCCCATTGAAGGTTTATGGTCCTTCTCCACGGCACCGGTGTTGCCGGAGGAATCCCGGGCCCTCGGATGTAGACAGAATCGTTGGGAAATGCAAGATTTTATTTCGATAAAAAATTATCACAACCATGAACTATGGGGATATGAACGAGAAGAAGGTATCGCAAAGAAGATTGGTCGATGAAATTATCGTCCTATCATCAGTAATCCTAAACCGCAGAGAGGGCTGGCTTTCCCTACTCAAAACGAGTTTCGTGGAAGGACGAAGACCCTCATCGATCGGGACGGATGACGTCGTCCCAGCCAAGAGGAATGTTGACGAATGTTTACCGCGAAGTCCGATCGGGCTGCTCAAGGGTATTTTCGTTCCCGATCGATCCGCCAGGGAAGCAGCAGAATGCGTGAATGCCCCCTTGGCTTCCATAGAAACCATTTTGGGATTCGCTTGGCGACTCCTCTCTCTGAGGATCTCACATCCGGCAGTCGACCACTTGTTCATTGAGCTCATAAAGTCACTTCTGCGTGTCACGCGATCGATCCTGTGAGGCGTATCTCACAGTGACATCTTTGCCGCGACAAATGATCAGAAATCTTGACTTCGATGGCGAAGACTCTGCATGTCATTTTGATGACAGAGGAAAATATGCTTTAGACACAGTAAAGATCGCGGTCGGAGGGGCGATAAGAGGGTAGGGGAAACGGTGGATGCGTGACGATTTCCCCGGCGAATTCCCCAGAGTCCCCAGCCCACATGAGAGACTAGTTGGGAATCGAATATTCATTGCTCGGCTACGAACATGTTGGAATGTGGTACAATATCGGTTATTGCACCACAGAGCGTTCAGCACGTTTTGGCAAGGCAGCAATCGGCTGCGATTCCCCAACGAGGAGCAACATGTGGGAGACGGGGAAGAGGTGCTCTACGTTCGCCGCTCGGCTATAGAACGTCTCAAGTGGACGAGGGCTCGCTCGCCAAGGGCTCCGCAATCGGAATGGAGCGAGGGAAGGTGAGGAAGAACGGCGGTGACGTTGAGGAAAAAGTCAAAAGGCTACCAGCGGAGTATGGGAGGACTGGCCTTATTTGCCCTGGAGAGTTCCCGAAGAACGAACAGTTAGATATACGGTCCCCTCCCCGAATCCATTCACTTGTCCGCCTTATCGCTTCGTCTAACTGCTGACGCCGATGCAGCTGCTGATCTGCAGCTCCGCGGAGCGCTATCCAACTGGGAACGTTCAATCTGGCTGCCTCACCGATGTGTCCGAGGGAATAATAACAGCCGGCTTGGGCCGGAGGTCTGCGGACGGAGGTTCAAGCGATGAGCGCGCAGCGTCGGGACAAAAAAAGTTGTAGACGTTGTCCGAGAAAAGGACGTGGGTACCCTTGATTGTAAGTTCCGTCCCAGCCCGAAGGTCAGACGTTATCTTGCACCCACTCGCTTCGACGGAGCCGGCTCGCCGCGGCGGAAAACCTGTGACGCTGGAAAGTTCTGATCCAATGCACTGAAAAGACATCCAATCTGCCTATAGCGGCGCTAGATATTGTCCGGGATCGGTCTGACGATTGGGAACTCATTCATCCGAGAGTCGGATACCGTCCGCATGAGCCTAAAGCCCTTGCGCTGTCATGGACTCGGAGTGAGTGGACAGAGCCGGGCAGCCTTGTTTGTCATTCGGCGCAGCCCACGCCACGCCGCCCCGACGAAGCAAATTACGGTTTCCGTACGTCGGCCAGCTTTCATTTGAACTCGAGCCTTGTGCGGAAGATCCCTCTCGCGATGCGAGAAAATTTCTCGGAACGTTCGCGTGTCCCGTCTCTATTAAAAGCGATCCTCAGCCTGCAGTCGAGAGATTCTCCGCAGGTTGCTTCTCGTGGCCCTTCGTAGAAGCGGCATCTGACGGTCTATTCTCACGAACAATGGGACTACTGGATGCCGGAGCTCTCCGGGAGCTTGGTTCTGACAAGTTCGTGGAGCCCTCTCCTCCTGCTCGGAGCCCCCGGGCCTTCAATCTCGGTCGAATTGATTTTTCTGAAGTTCGAATCGTGCATCATCGGCCGGCGTTGAGCCGAATCCCCGCTATCGCGTCATGACACCTCGGAGACTTCTCAATATTCCCCGTCACAACACCGATATTCGTCGCGATCGAGTCGCGGAAATCATTTGTGAGATAAATCGCCCACTCATTCGCGCGGCGGGATGGGGGGACGTGGGGCGCCGTAGGGCGAAATCTGAAAATTCAGGCACATTTCCGAAGAGAGCTTTTACTTAAGATGTTCAGACTGACTGAGAGCGAAGCTGCGACGTAATCCAATTCTCAGGCGCTTCGGAGCGCACTTACGCTCGAGGAATATGCAAAACGTTCCGGACACTGCCCTCGGATCCGAAAATCAAGGAGTGCGCCGAAGACTCTGCTCTCGACCAGAGCTCCCGCTTCCACAAGGAGACCTCGCAAAACGCGTATTGAGATTTGGTGAAGACATTCCGCTGCTTCAAGGCTCGGCGAATTCACTCCACGAATGCCCCTATCCTCATCTCTATTTATGAACTCTGATCAAACCGAACGCCCGACGATGCTCGCCATCCACTCAGACACAATAACACCACGTCGTGTAAGCGACACTCTTCACGGTGTGTACCGTCGGATTAGAGTTCCTCTAGCCCGCCTAGTCGTACTTTGGCGTAGCGGTGGTCAGAATAGTCTGCGGGGACCTCAGACCAACAATCAGCGAGTGAAATGCTCGAGTGGGGAAGCGATTAATCTGCATGCAAATCCATCTTTCTGACCAATCCAGGAAACCGTATCCATCAGGAGAGGCTGAACCCCGTAGAGACGGAATCAACTTGCACGCACTCGGAAGCTTCATCCTATGGAAAACCTCCCTTCTGCTTTGATTTTATCGTTCGACCCGACGAGGAGTTCCAATACCCGAGCGAATCTCGATTCAATTTTCCATCTGGCACGCCAGTGTGGCCGAATCTGGGGAATGAAGTGTGTTAGTGATCCTCCTCATCCAAGTCTTCATATCCCGGACAGATGTCTCTTCTTCTGTCTCTAGACCTCATCGCTTCGAGACCTTCTCAAAAACCCCGAGACGGACCGTTCTGCATAAGGTTCCTCGACCCAGCCTGCGAGGCCGATCCTCCGAATGGCTTCCATCCGGTCCCCGTTCGCCGGCGTTCCTCTAGAGAGCTCGGGTGCGGAAGTGGATGTCATCGAAATAGTCGCCGGGCAATTCAGTCAAGGCTGTTTATCACGGAAGAGCGACTGAATTAGAGAAAAAGTGCATATCTGGCTGGGTTTCTCGCTCGCACTTTTACACAATGCATCAAAGCCGGTGTCATTCGTAGCTGACCGACCGGCTGACTGGTGGAGATGGCCGGCCGGCCATCTCTATCTCTCTCTCGCTCAGATCAGATCGCAGGCCGTAGCAATCAGGGGAGTGAGATCTTGTGCTGTAAGCTTTCGCACTACTCTTTCCTCTGGCAACAGACGAGAAGGCGCTCTAAACCCGACTTGAACCTGTTCCTGCTATTTTGAGGGACCGTCATTCTACATACGAGCTGTAGTTCATCGTGTGCGCGGATAAATCAAAACTTCTTTTATTGAAAATGTAGTGCTCAAGTCGCTCGGTTTTTTCTCGCAACGTCTCATACGTCATCAAGGCAAGTGCACGGAAAGATCGATGAACGTCGGAGATTCCAGGTGAGCGATCGTAGCGAGAGAAGCGGCGCGAACGCGCTCTTGGCAAAGGCGCGCGTAGTTGGCTTTCGCGCCGGCACCGCTGCACCGCCGGTACAAACCACGCCGAAAGCGATTCCCGCGCCGAAGCTCTTTGTGTATGCTTCCAAATGGCATTCGTCGTTCCTGCAGCGCAAGCTGAAGAACGAGACATCGATCAGCGCCTATAGCTGATCGTCAATAAAAGCCTGCGTACAATGCCAAGACGACGAGGGACGGTGAAAAACGGATCGGACCTCGCTGGCTCCATGCTTGTCTTCACAGAACACGATTTTCTCGCGCAACGTCCGCACCACTATTTCGGAGCGCATCAACAAGATGGTGATCATGGGCCTCGCAGGCGGGAACACTTTCGGCATCTTTCCCAGCATGTATGTGTACAGATTTCCTCCCGGCTTCCGGAAAAGACAGGGAATAAATTTGTTTACACCGAAGCAGAACCTCCACGCTCTCTGACCCCTGGCGGATCGAAAGTGCACCTACAGAAGAGCCGGAGGCCATCCGAGAAACCTCCCCGTCAGCCCATGCCTAATGACTGTAATTCGTAGTTGATTGCCTTCCATTATCAGGGGACACCGGGACATTGTCGACCCGCGGTGGTTGCAGGGACCGGAATCGAGAACTCTCAATGGCTTGAGTTATTTCTGTTCATAGATTCCACTGGAGGCATGTCTTTCCCGCAATTCGATTACTTCTGACTGCGTGGGCTTGACGTCACGTCTACGAGACCACGGGTACGGCAAACTCGCGGCGTAAGCGCTGGGAACATGTTCTTCCTCCGTTTAGAGTAAACGTCGGTGGGGTGACAGAAGTCTGTGCTGATTGCACAGTTTGTCACACTGTTGCTACGGGACGGATCAAGTGCTTCGAGAGGCTCAGAGCGAAATACGATTAGGCGTAGCGGCACAAATTGAATTTTACCAACTCCCACGGTCTCAATCAGGTTTCCAGCTGCGCTCGTCCCCGGCGCTCGTGTCGACGGGATGGTGTACCTATTCGGCGGGGATTGATTGGAGGGCGATAGGTCTCCCCGTGGGAAACAGGTCTCACCGTACAACGTTCATAGGGGCTCGCTTGACCAAGAAGCTCAGATGTATTGCCAATTATTTCATTTCTTCCATGCTATTTGGTCCGGGCTAAACGAATGTAAATGGCTTGTGAGTTAAACAAGTATATCCTGCATAATTTTCCCCGCCCAGTTCTCGAGGGAGCCCTCAGGAATAAGGTCGTATGAAGGCATTCCGCGAATAGACCGCGGCTGGCCTAATACCAACAAATGAGTGCTCATTTGAGATTGACCATGTTACGAAGTTGCACAGACGGGAGAGGTGGCAATCCGTCCCCGGGCCGGGAGATTCCCTTGTTCCCTGCGGAGACCCTTCCGGAAAAAGCGATCTCAACTTCGAGATTGGCCTTTTCAGAACGCGTTTTAGAGCCCATCGCTTGTTTGTGACGTTCCTACTTCACGCTCGAGATTGGTAGTGAACAGCTCACAGAGAGGAACAATATAGCGGCCTAAACGAAGAAAGACTAGAAATTTCCTCGAAAATCGCTTCGCGCTCTCTCGCGAACGCTCAAGCGTCTGTATGTGACCATCCGTCTTCGAGACGAATGCCCGCTGTTTCCAGATGAGGGGGATCATTTGTTGCGCTATTTTCCCACCATTTCGGAGATATACAGCCAGAGCTCCGGGACATTAGGAAACGAGATTTCTCCTGTTGAGCGTGTGTACCAGCTTTAAAAAGTCAAGGTTTACCGTTAGAGCTCACAACCTCCATTTGAATCTGCCGACACCGCTTAGAATATATTTACAATGAAACTAAACCGGGAGGTTTAGAACTTCGAGGCGGCAAGACTTGATGCTCGCCCTAAGGAGCAATCGAGCGCTTGGGAAAGCAGAGCGGAGAAAGAATCTCAGTCAGATTCAAAAGAGTCGGACGGGAGCTTCGAGAAGCGTACGGATTCGCGTACTTCTTTCATGGACAGCAAACGCTCGGGGGCTCCCTTTCATTCGGCTTCGTTCCCTAATGACGATTTCCCGACCAGTCTCGCCGCTTTTACAGTCTTTCGGTGAGCGGCCTCAATGAGCACATGAGGCTCTGTGCACCCATCCGCAACGGTATGTGAATACAGGAGCGCACTGGAGAATAACAGTGCACAAAGCACTCCGAGAGATGACAGAGCTCCTTCCCTCGGCCTTCGCTTTTCAGTCATCGTACGGCGCGCCAGGTTGGCCGGATCAGAGCTCGAACAATAGCCGAAGTCTCGCCGTCTGGAGAGAGGGTGAAATGGTTCGAGAGGGACAGGCGACAACGTTTACCACCGGAAAATCTCCATTTGAACCTCATTTCCTATCTGGACTTTTTCTGCCTCTTCGGCACTTGCGGCTCACTTCTCACTCGCTGACTTTCTCCAGTCGCTCGATTATATCTCTTTTTTTTCACGTGAGAAAGTCTGTACCCGAGCTCATCTGACCTGTTGTTTCGTCTTCCGTCTAGTAGCAAGTCGAGTCTCTTCTGTCGCAGTGGTTATCCAGATCCACGGACGCGAATTATCCTCGATAATGATCCGAAATGCTCTCGAATTCTGAAGTCTCATCGAATTTGCAGACTGGGTGATACCAGCGACATGAGCTTTAGCTACGTGGAAAGTTTCTATGATTTCTATCGATCGGAAGCGCGACCCGGAGCTTTTCGACAGAATATGTTCATGAATTTCCAAATCGGGCGACGCCAACTCGTTATGAGCGGGTCCCTGACGCGTCATCCTCCTCCGGTGGACGCCGACGGTCGGATCGTTCGGTACCGCACGGGTGCTTCCGAACTGTTCGCCATTGCCGCCATCGGTCCCCCATTCTTTCAGTTTCTCGTTCGACTCCGTTCGCAAGTCCAAGTATGGCCTTTACTTACTGCTCGATGACAGAGCTTCCTCTCTCCGTTTGAAACCTTAATCAGGACGTTCCGCAGGGAACCCACTGACCTTCCGTACCATAAAGAATGTTGGCATGCTCACAGTAGGGATCATTCCCCTCCCGAGGAGGATGTCGTGAGGGTCCCTACTTGCCCCGCCAATTACAGTTGGCAGCGTTGCTTGTCACCGCATATGGAGGAGCACGCTTCAGAACGCTCACACGGCACGTGTACTGCGTGGACTATTGTGGCACGCCGCCCGAGCGAAGGACGAAGCAGTCAAAAGTCCGAAGTCGCACAAAACTTCGAAACTTCGTTGGTGTCGGATCGTATAACTCCGTGGTCAGGTTCGGGTGGTATAGTAAGCTCGAAAACTTGCGAGCGCTGCGCCTCGAAGTCGCATTTTTCAGCCTTTTGTCTAGTGGACGTCCACCGCTGAGACTCCGAGTCAGAAATGTCAAAGTGCGTTACACGACCACGAAAAAGTCTCCCGCGCCGTCGGACACTGGAAGGGGACATTAGTTCGGCCGTCAACCACCTCTAAAAGTCGTCCGTCGGGCCCCAGAGTCCCTCTCATTCCGAGCTTTGTTAATTTTTAGTCCGAACCACCACTAGATCTAAAATGAATTGTACCCACAGGACCGACGATTGGATCGTCGCCCAGTCGTCCTGAAGGAGAGCGCTCAGATGAAAATGTGGGGCTACGTTGCTTTCTTTGTGATCGTTGCCTTCACCGTATTGATCATCGTCATTCGGGTTGTAATTAGAACCACGGTCTATTACGACCACATCCCGGATCTGCGTGGCAAGACCATCGTCATCACAGGTTAGTGTTGCAGGCAAGAGCCGCTATTGAAGCTTTCGGATACAGCAGAGCTTTTGATTCGTGCAGCGGCTTCTCTTCCTTCCTCTTCCATATCTGTTCTCCGAGGCTCAGTCAGATTTGTGGATCGGAATCCAGATCAGAAACCTTACGCGACTTGCCTCAGTATCCAAATAGCTCCAGGAAATCCTTCAATACCCCGGCTTAGGGTGACTGACAAAATAATCCGGCATTTCCTGCCTTGCTGCTCGTGGGATTTCGGAAACAAGGATGAAGGAATCATGGATTCCACTCGTTGCCTTTCGAATGGGGGATTCTCAGCCCGGCAGTCCCCTGCAATCAGATAGATTGTTACACCTCAATCCGAGCCACATGAATGTTTCTGCTTGTTTGTTGCCCGTCCGGGCGCAGTCAATCGCGTGGGCCGGGTCCTCGATTGATTGATCGGTCGGTCGGTCGGAGTCTGCTCGCTCGACTGTCTTTTGACAACTCTGCTGAGCATGTGGGCAGTTGCTGTTGCATGTAGTACCTACAAGCTTCGTGACAGTCAGTTGTCTTGCCACCTGTCAGACCTTCAGGGTGGGAGGTTAGCGAACAGGCGGCCGGGCGGGTGGTCGAAGAGACGGGCAGGCAGGCAGGCTGGCGACACGGTTCGCGGACGACGACCGCGCACAGTAAATGCTCGGATGAGGAGGAGCGTAGCGGCGACAGAAGGGGAATTTTAAGTCCATGTCATAACCAGACGTCAATTTCAGGAGCATCAAGCGGGCTCGGCCTCCAACTGAGTGAGGTTCTCGCAAAAAATGGAGCGCGCGTCATCTCTATTCATAGGTAATCGCAAGCGTCGGAGCCTCCTCCGCTGAAGAATGAAACACTGTGATACGTGTTGGGCGTCGACGTCGAACAGGCTGCTCGTCGATCCGAGGCGAGCTGTCTATTCGATACAGGTATATATATCGAGGGCCCTAAGATCCGATTTCGATTCATCAAAGGTATCTGGACGATATCAACTTCGTTCAACAGTTCGCCAGCGAGCTAGCCCGGACCGAGGATCGCATCGACTGCCTTGTAAATAATGCCGGTGAGTGACTTCCTCCAAAACTCAGGACGGTGTCGATGGGGCGGGGGCGAATTCTAGGAGTTCAAGGCGACGCCGCACGTCAAAGTCAGCCGGCGACTCCCAAAGTGAGAAGCATTGGCGAGTCCCATGTTCTGCCGGCCGAAAATTCCCTTTAGCTGCTGCATCGATCGCGGCCGATCGGCACGGCCAACAACAACGGAAATGCCCGGGGACTAATTCGTTGCGGAGCAACTCGATTGCGGGGGGAACGAACTTACAAATCCGTGTCCGCAGCGTCTATCTGCACGAAAAACAAAACTAATCCGATTGAGCATACGCGGCGCTTCCTGGCCGAGTTGCCCGAATTGGGACGGCAGGACGCATGGATCTGTGTCCGTCAGGGGCGCACGCATGGACCTCGCGAGCGGCGTGAGGTCGCAACAAAATACATATCCGGTGCCTCAGAGCAGACGTATCGTACTTGGGAAACTCGGCGGGAAGGGTTCTGGCCGTCGAATGGTCGCGCGCGAAACGTATCGCTGCATTCTAGCGAAACACAAACGACAAACCTTGTTCGTGTGAGTGTCTACGGTCCAGACGGTCTCCGAGCCCGCTAAGCTGTGAAAACAAGCTTGCCGCACTCTTCTCATCAACAGACGCGTGTTCATAAAGCGTTGACCAACGAAAACACTCTGTCAGTCGCGAGTTTTGACAGAATGGCCAGTCTGTCAGCTCGTTTCGCTTTACAAGCCGATTACATTTATGAAGCGATCTCGCGAAAAGAGTGACCGAGCCGCTTCCTCCCCGGTCCGTGGTGAATACGGATTTCCGCTTCGGGGCGACGAGTTCCCAGTCTGCCTGTTGGAACCTCCGCGTATGCCAAGGGACGTCCGAATGAGCGCCGCGCCGTCGTCGGAATAAGCTAACTGTGGGAAGACAAATCAAAGAGAAGAGCCCTCTCAGTCGAGGAAATTCGGTCGTGCGAGAGACAAAAGCTAGTCGTGTTTGTTTCTTTTTTGTAGAAGCGGCTTGATTGAAACGTTTTTGACACCAGAAGCAACAAGCACACTAGCTGCAGGCCTGACTGCCGCTGATTGTTTGTAGTTGCTGCCCATATAAGTGTTCCAGCGTCAGCAGTTGGATAGACATCTCCGTCGAGGTTTTCTCTCCTCCGCAGTGAATGGAGGAAACCGCTTGAAGCTTTGAACAAAGGCTGGTGTTCATTCTCGCCGGAAGTTTTATATCTTATGAAACATCTCGCTCCGGGATTCAAGCCTCAAGCTAATGACATCAATCTCCTCGAGCTGTCACCGAATCAAGACGCACATTCAGAGCTCTACCTCCGGGAGTATGAGTGAACGAGAATGGATTAAGACGAGAATTCCCCCAAATTTTTCGTCGGCAAAGAAAAATAGACGCTCACGAAAAAAATTGTGGTCGCATTCCTTTCTGGACGATCCTCCGGCTTCAAGTGTCTCTGGGACGTTTTCCAGAAGCGACGACCGTTCCAGTTTCACGGAATCCTTGTGATCTCAGCGACAGAGGAAATAAGAGGGGACCGGCTGTCTGTTTGTTCAAAGAGCTCTCGAATGAGAAGTTCCAATATCGGGATTCGATTCAAGATGACGATATCAAGTTTAGGTCACGTGAGAACCGCTATAGGATAGTATCGGGACCCTATCTTCACATTGAAGTGCCTACGATACGCGAATCGAAGACAAAAGACTGCTTGAGCTCGCTGGAAGAGAACTTTCTGCCGAAGCGAGAGCGTGCGTCCTGGATCCGAGGCAATGATTCCACCATCCTCGTCGAGTGTATCTTATCGAGAATTTCGGATGGAGATGAGTCTCGTCGGGGTAGAAAAGCGCGGCGACTGCGTGTGGAATGCCCTCGACCACGCCTTCTGCGTTGATGATTCACCCCGCGCCGGAAGAATGAGTCCCGGAGCGTCGACTCGGCCATTGAGATCTCGGGGCAAAACACAGAGCTTGTTTGCTCGGAATTCATTCAGAGCGCAGCCAAGACCCCGAGCGGCTCATTTGAATGTCAACGGCGGCGAAATCCTATTTATCTTGTCCGCCTTTCATGCTCATCACTTATCATCCACATTGCTCCAACGGATACCTGTACCCGGAATCCCCTCAACAAAACCCCAAAAATCATCAACGACCCTTCTTTCCGGCTTATGCTGTCTGGTGTGAGGGGACGGCGAGAGACTTTCCAAGAACGTGATTATTAGTTGACCGACCGGATACTATGTACCTAATTCGGCGCAAAACGATTCTCTAGAAAGAAAACGTGCCCATCCTGATTCGAGATTTGCCTGGGGCCGAGCACAAATGTCTCCCATTCACTCTCCCGACCTTGGACAGGCTTCGGGGAGAAGATGAGCGCAGCAGAAATAGAATAGAAGGGAATGGGGGACGGAGGCCGGTCGGGCTTTCTAGTCCGATGTCTGCTTTGCATACCTCTGAATTAAATTGCCACCATCGCCCGTCGTACTACATGCGCCGCTTGAATCCTTTGTTGAAATTGTTTGCCCCGAGTGGAGTCGAGCGTACCGGCGAGCTGTCTTCGGAACAAACGCGCAGACTTCCACGAACACCGCAGCCCCAATCAACAATGCCCGGAACCGGAATAGTCCCAGAATCGTGTTTCAAGCCCACGACGAATCTACTGGAACAGGAAGGCGATTGAATGCGCTGTTGAGGAGCTGATTCGGCGGTCAAAGCAGAATGAAACCGGCCGGAGATTCTCCACCGACGCTTTCGGACAGACATGCTCCTCCGGATGACCTGACGTTTACCGAGACGCTCGTCTGAGGTCTGAGGCGTCGGCATCTAGAAATCATTAGGTATATATTTATTTTGCAAAATCCGCGGCATGTAGATGGGGATAGGTGCATCTATGGCTGCAATCAGCTTGAGATCATAGGCTTGAGCGGGTCCACTGAAAAAGCTGTTCGGATTCCTCTCGGGAGTTCTCGCACCCGTGCGTGCGAGCTTGACGTATGCCCGCGTGAGGCTCGCTGGCGGTCGTGCTCGAAGGATCTTGCAGGTAATCAATCATTCGCAGGCTGAGAAAAAACAGGATAGATTCGTATTCCCAGGGAAATCAGTGTTCTGTCAGGGCTCCATCTTCGATTCGTTCCAAACGTGTCCAGAACTCGGTTCCGGGCGGCTTCCCAAGGGACACGAGCACACCAGCATGAACGATGTATCGACTGACTGAAGTACCCGGAATGATGGCGATTGAATCAAATCAAGATCCAGCAGGAGTTTGTCTGACGAGCCTGGGAAACGTGTGTTCTCGTCGCAGACTCATGGCGCTTCAAGCCCACGACAAAGACACATGATTTGCGGAGTATCCTCTCATCGGGATTCACTTGGCGTAAGCAACGACGAAGAGACAGATGCATTGGGAGCCACAAGCGGGATTTGTTCCTCGTCAGCCTAAGAAAGGTTGTCTCATCCGATAACAGCAGCTAGACAGGCGAACCACATGAGATTGCAACCCTTCTTGACATAGGATATTTCCTCCCCTGACCGCGAATCGTCGTTTCTGAGAATGCCACGCGCAAAAGTCACTTCAAGTCGCGACTGAGCCAAGATTCAAATCTGATCAATCCATCTCAACCAAGAGCTTGCCGCGGAGACATTTGTGCTCGTCTCGCTCTCGGCACGTATCATGCCAAGATGATTTCCTTCCTCCAAGACCGATTCTGGGAATCAGGATCGAGTCCAAACTATCGAAGTGCAGTCTCACGATTTTCGGAGAGTTCGACTTTCTCGTATGATAACAGAGGGTACTTCGTATACAGACGTGGAGTGCATCTCGGAATGCTGTTCTGAGCTCCTCTGTGATTTGCGTTGAGCATGTCGTAAGTTTTTTACTCTGCTTCGCATCTTCACAGGGGCTTCAAACAAAGAGGTGGGGGGAGCTCTCGTTCAGGCTCATCTGAACTGGCAATCCCCTAGCCGAGAACTGTAGGAGCGAGAAGCTCCTGTCGAAGACGGTATACACAGAACACGTCCAACTGAGCAGCTGTTCCTCTCAAGACGTGAGAAAGGGGGCCGCCTGCGCAAATAGCCGGCGACCGTAACGATGCTGCGGGTCCTCTTTCGAGAGTCTCTTTGTTGTTGCCTTCATCGAATGCTCAATTTATTGTTATCACGCAAGCGCTAGATGCGAGGGGATATTCATGCATCGGGACGCTCGATCTTCTGTGCCAAATTTCTTGTCTGAGTGCCGGGAGATAAAGGACATTAGAGACGTACGCCCAACGTCTCGGAAACGAATATTCAAGAGCGGGGGCGAACATTCATTCTCAACGACGATACGTGATGCGGGCCGAGAGATGAGGATTCAAACTCTCTGTCCGTCGCTTACTCTCAGACCTGCGTAATCTTTTCCAGGTATTCTCTGCGGAGATGATCTCAGCCCAGACGGCCTGGATAAAATGATGGCCGTGAACTACGTCGGACATTTCCTTTTGTCGAAGATTCTGATTCCCAAAATGACAGCAACGCCCAACGGACTACGGAGAATTGTGAACATTACTTGTGGTGGCTTCACCACCGGCAATTTGCACCTCCTCTTCGATATGCAACGTAAAGAGCTCGGCGAAGGTGAGTTCTTCACCATTGGGTTCTCGAACTTCCGACTTAATTTCAGCGGAGTTCTGACCTTGCTGAATTAATCAATCACTAGCCCGCATTCGCTCCGGTCCTCCGAGATATCCGGAGGGCACGACCTGTCGCAGCGTCCTCACTCGCCGATATCACTGATTCCCTCAATGGTGCCGGAGCCTCCAGCGGCAGACGGTCCTGGCGGTGTCGAGCCTTCGAACAATTTCTCAAGACTCCGCAGCTGCGAGACGTCGCCTCCGAAAAATAAGACTCGGATATCGCATAGCGAAGGATGCCTGAAAAGTGGCCTCCATCGGAATGATTGGGAATGCTACTACCACTTGATATGCTCACCGTCTGCAGATATTTTCAGATTCGGTCGCCCAACGACCGAGAGCGCGGTTTCCTCAGCGAATTCCCAAATGGCTTTAAGAAGCGTCCTATAGCAGAGTCGCTCCGCTGGCGACGGCTCGGAAAGTTCCGAGAAAAAAACCTCGGATAAAATCCCGACCTGACACATGTGTTACCATGGTGCCGGATTCCCCTCGAACGAATACCTGGAAGAAGTATTGCTTTCCCGTCGTACTGCTTTCGTTACGAGTTTGCTCCTGGATCCGACTCTTGATCGTTAGAATATGAGGGACTTTCCCATGGCTGACAGATTTCCAGTTTCCCCGATTCCAGTTCGAGGATCGCCGGCTATGGAAGTCTCGCATTCTGGGTGATGAGAGCAGAGCATATGGTCTGAAGTCTGAGGAGAGATTGGAACCAGAGTCCTATTCAGGCTGGAGAGCGTGCGGGAGCCGACCGCGTGCTTTCGTCAGGACTCACCGACTCTCAGACCCCCATAGAGGAGCATTCCCGAGGCATTAGCGAGATCTCGCCATATTCCCCGCGAACTCGTCCTGATCGATAAATTAGGTATCGAGCGAGCACCGTGAAGTCGGTTCTCCTACAAATTCTCGATGAGCGACGGCTCCTCCGTGTAAAAGTGCGAAGGGAACGATGACGGCAGAGAGATCAGAGACACTCCCCTCAATCGGCGTAGAATTCTAGCTCATTAGTTCTCGAGTCAGACTGATTTTCTGCAGGAAAAAAAAACCGCTTCCCCGAAGTGGCTCTCTCTTGACGATTGAATTTGGAGTCACCAAAAAGTCTCCGATTCGCCGACGGAGGGCCGCCTCTCTCGCATGCATTGAAATCGAGAAGTGATTGCCCTCAGCGAGCAGGAATTCCTCTTGATCGCCTCAGGAAAACGAAATATGTTTCAATCAAGGAGAAGAAGAATCAATAAACAGGAAGGAGTGGGAGGATGCGCTCGAGCGTTTCTGATAGGAAGCCTTACCGTCTACTATTTCCGAGTTTCCAGGTTCATACAGTATACGGGAATGGTATCGTTCCTCTAAGCTGGGCCTGTATCTCATGGCACGCGAGATGAGCAGGAGATTCAAGACGAACGAGCTCTGCTGCGTTTGCGTGGATCCCGGTTCGTAGGATTTCGCAATTACACCTCTCTCTCGGTACCTGATGATTAAATTGGCTGTCGGATATCCACCCAAGCTACGGCCAAGTCGTTCCATCTTCACTCTATCCGCCCATTCACTTTCCCGACAAGCGAGCGAACAACCCATCACAACGTTACGCGGATCGGTCGGCTTGCGAACCCATGACCTCTATGCAGTCGAAGAACCCTGTTTTATCCATATCGTGTACTTCAACAGCAGCAGCATCGCGCTGGATTTAGCGGCCAGCTGCGTGAACGACGTTCTGCTCACGCCGACACGAGCACGCTGGAGATTGGCCGCGAAGGCTCGCGAACTGGACCCACGTCGACAATGAACTTTTTGTAATGGGGCTCGTTTGATGGATTGCCCACCTTTATTCTCTCACCGGTGGGCTTTAATCATTATCCTCCGGCGATATGCGATCGTGGGAGCGTCGAGTGGAATGAAGGTCGGACCCGAGAAATCTCCGCCCGATTCCTGCGGCTCTATCTATTACTCGAGCGCCGGTGGGTCCGATCTTGATCGCTTTCTCGCCGGCTCAGTTTTCCATAAGCTCTTCTACCTCCGCTCGGACTAAATTCATGACTGGGTTCTGTCGCTTTGAAGCAAGACCGGGGATTTCCGCCAGAGGATGTTCACTTCAAATGATTGCCCCTTCTCGAGGAGAACCGCCTCCCGAGTTCCCTTTTCCACGAGCAGGCTTCCACATGTTCTCTGATGACTCTCCCGAGAGCAGCTTTCCTTTCCCGCTGCCACTTCGCATCCGAGCCCGTAAACACCTATCAGCAGTGGCGGCGTCGGGGTAAAAGAGCGCAGAACAGCAAATACTCACAAGGGTCTGAGCGAGGATCTAAGAAACAGCTGATGGAAACGGGAAAATACGACGACACGAACGTAAAGTGCCGCAGCTCAATCGAGAGACACGTGCGGAGCAATTAATTGTTGTGATGCGTCAGGCAATGCGACGGAAACGTCCGCGCTGAGCCTATTTCCGCCCGAACGGAAACAGGATAGAAGTGCGGACGCTGGTTGCCGGTGGACATCATCGCGAGCGACAACACACTCACGCTCTCACACTAACTGGCTCACACAGGCACAAATAACAAGCGCCTTAACGTATACGGTTCCCGTTGGATAGCCACGTTCCGAGTGGGACAGCAGGAAACAGAGCGATCGGCTCTACGAGAGGATTGTGCCCCGGCACATGGAATTCTTAACCTCACTTATCTCGCTGCCGATGCCATCACAATTTCCTCGATGTCCACGGCGTGGACCTATTTCTGCAAGCCGTGTATCTGGGTATCGATTCGTTCCGTGTGGTATACGTGGCACTAATAACTGGCTGCGTTTCCTTTCCATCAAACCTGCTTCGCCCGTCTGCGCAACGAACAACTCCGCGACGTCATGCACAGGACTGCTATCGACAACGTTCTACAGTCATCTACCCCAACCGCAGAAATCTCTGTTGTGTTTGCTGGCCATGCTGATGTTCCGGTCTCCAGAAGAGGGCATCCAGAGCGTTCTATTCGCTTTGCTAGATGAGAAAATACGCACTTGCTCAGGGACGGTTCGTATGCTCTTTCTACTTTCTCAATATGAAAAATTAGGCTCGGGGGCGGATGCTGCCGTACGTTCGAAAGGGAACTCGGTGCCTTGCACAACAGAAGAGGAATGGGGGAAAAGCCGCAAAACATAGTGCAGATATCTCCCTCGCGTGGATTTCTCAGACAAAACACGAATCAGCCGGCAGATGATGGTCGAGAGGAGGAGGAATATCCGGAAAAGAGGAGAGGCTCAACCAAACTTGAAAACTCCAGATTCTTGAAACCTCTTCGAGCTCGTGATAATTTCGCAATGCTCTGTGGTTTTCGTACTCTTCCGGAGTCGGAACCACCAACGGAGGCTCGGTGATCTCAATTCACCTTTCCCATGACCCGACGCATGTTCAGATGCATTCGGCCTCGGAAGTCTCTGCTCGGTAGTAAGAAGAAAATTCCCCCTCTCGATAGACTCCTGTACGGCGCAACGTCGCTGTCGACGTTATCGGCGACAGGGCGCAGGCCACCTCCTTCGGCTGGAAATAGCTCTCAGAGAAACATTTTCGTGCTTGGAAGCGATTCAAACTTTTCCTCCGGAGCAGAGAACGTGAACGATTTTTCTGGAGGAGTCATTCCGGAACGAGGAAAGTGTGGTTGTGGTTCGACATGGGAAATGTTGCTGCAACCATCGGCACCACGATGGTTCACGTTCAAAAAACGATGAACTAATAAGCATGATGATGTAATCATGATCATTATTCCATCTACATTTGTACTACAGCATCATTTTTTTTCGATACGTACCATCAGGTGATAAAAGACTGCAAAGTTTACGATCCTCAAGACGCCGATTTTTTGCGGAGGACAAGGTCAGTCAACATGTCCGAAAGAGTATGGGATGTCACCGAGCAACTGATAGATGATAAGCTAGATAAGGTGAGTGAACACGAGAGAGAGAGAGGATATTAACGAGGGGTCTGAGCCACGTCCGTCGGTCATCAATTCTTGGGGCAAATTATCTCCTGTTACCAACACGATGTCTCCGCAAAGCCCCCGCAAGTCTCGTCGTTTCCCTCACACACAAGTATACGGGTACGTGCGAGGCGGACGAAACACTTGCTGAAGGTCAGACAACGTCTTTTCCAAGGTCACGGTCGAAGCATGACCGCAGCGACCGGCTGTGTCGGAGATTCATCTCATTAGAGCGCATACCAGAGGGGAGACATACGTGTAAATGGGGACTCATTCCTCCATGAATTGCCGCATGCGAACGGTTCGGTTGAAGTCCCTTCATTGATATCTTCGGCTTCGAGAGCCATTCAACGGCCAAGGGTCGGTACCCGAAAATGAGCGCGCGATAGAGTGAGGGAGAGAGAGCGCGAGAATGAGGGGGGAGAGTGTGAGGATAAGAAAGAGGGAGTCAGAAGGAGCTCGAGCTCCGTCGAAGCAGCGACGAGAGGAAGGGGAATAAGTGGAGCGTTGCCTTTGGATGCGACTCGAGTAGCCGGAACTCGTAATTATGTCCTCGTAGGAATCGCTCGATGGACTCGATCGTGTTGAGGAAAATGGATGTCGGACCGTGAAGGACGCTCAAGACTGATGGCAGGTATCGATGACGCGAACGTTCCGGAGATGGATGGGCTTTGCTTATCATCTCTGCAGGACAGCAACGAGGAAGTGATGAGTCCTTTGCCATCCGCGACAGCCTCGCAACGATAGATATCAAACGCGATGTTGACCTCGCGGCTGTGCTGTCGCCATTTTTTCCCAAACGCAGAATCAGTGGTAATCGAGTGTGATGCGACAGATAGGGCGATGAGATGGGGTTTGGGGAGGGCGACTGCTGCCATAGAGGGGTCACTGGGAGAGAAATAATTGTCGTAGATGTACTGCACGGAAGGCTGGATTCGAGAAAAAACGATGATCGCGCTGTCACTATGACGCTCTCCCGCGGCCGTTATTTTCTGTCTCTGCGTACAACATACAAGCCCATCGGCCGCCTCATAGTCGCGGCCGTCGAACTGGTGCTGGTAGACGCGGCCACGCACGGACAGGCCGCTCGCTAAATTGGCACCCTCATGATCCAGGCTCCGGCATCGATCCTCCTCTAATAGCAGATCCAATTTCAGTCAGAAGCGGGAACCAGCAAGCGAAGTTCTATCGTCTAAGACAGCTCCTGCCGAATGGTCCGCTCGTCTACATCGTTTTCTACTCCGTCTCGTCTACCCTGCTCGGGAGCCCCCGCCCATTCCGAATTTCCTAACGGTCTTTTTGTATTGTCGCTGCTCGACCAGCGAGAGAATCAATAAAAAGTTTCCAAAAAAATCGTCCGTGACGGACGTTACCTTTGTCCAAATCCTTTCATTTATTCGACTCTTCCTCCTTGTCCGTCGCGCGTACACCGCGGCGAACACTGTGGGGCAAAGGCTCCAAAACTGGGTCCCCGGTAACCAACGAACGCCCATTTCGAGGAGTTCATCGCCAGACGTTCGGCGGATTCTCAGGTCCGTCTAAGCCTACTTTTTGCGCAACTCCGGGGATCCCCACCATCTGTTTCCACGGCTCCACGCACGAGCGACCCCGGGATCTCGCCGACTGATTTAAGCTTCGATCTGCTATCTCAAGGTCTCCATAAATGCTTCTCCTGGATGCATTCAGAACTTCGATTCACGTGATTGGTCGACAATCGAAGACTCCATCCCTTTCTGCAGCCGAGCAGAGAATCTGTTGGGTTCTACGGAACTCCAGGGGTCCCGCGAAAGGTTTCGCGAAAAAAATTCCCGGTGCACGGCTCCTGGATGCATAATTGGACATTATAGTTCGAAAGGGCGTTGCCCTCGTTCAGGAGTTCATCGGCATGGTCATGCGATCTGGTTAGCGGTCAAAGTAACAGAAGATTGAACCAAAGCGGATTGGAAGAATTTCCATCGATAGGGTGACGGGGCAGAACAATCGAGCCTCGCCGTACCATTGCAAGCCCCAGCTCAGCCTCATTCCGCTCGTGATGTTCATCATCGGCCATCCATTCGCTCCTCTTTTTGCCGGTGTTTCCGATACTATGGGTCTCCGTTCCTTATTATGATATGCATACAATCTAATTCTTAGCTCGAGACAATATCATCATCAGCCACAGCATCGCAGCCGGACCTCTCTTGTTTTAGCGGCATATTCACGCTTACTCATTAGCCATGGCAGTGGCGTGACTTGTCGTCCGGTGACGAATAGCTCGACCGTGAAAAAGCATCGTGAGCCGAAAAACGTGACTCGGCCGCTAAGTGCAAAATTGGGTCCGACATCACATCATCACGGCCCTCCGCCTGGGTTTCAAGGAGGAGGACGTTGATTTTGGAAAGAATTTCTTTTTAGAGTCGATTCTCGAATAAATCGTAGGCAGATCGCTTGTCCCTCCCACCCAATCGATTCGAGGGGCCTTTCAAGGGGACTCTTGAGCACGAAGGTATTCCATATTCTAGTCTCTAAATTCATACGATCCCACAGGGGCTGCTCAATGGAATTTGGTCGGGACTCGACCACGCTACGCGAGGCGTCCCGGAGCACCTAAAGGGAGGCTCATGATCGATCGCGTTCATGCCCCTGTTTTCTCTCGAATGACTCGTCTGGGTCAATCGCTCCAAAATGCCGCCCAGTCCAGTCGTGGACTGGAAACTTGATTACTTACCTATAGAAGAGTTGCACGGCGTGGTCGCCATGGATTCTGAGGGAGAAATCAGCTCAGCGCTCTCTGGTTTCCATGGACAAGGGAATGCTCTAATACTAATTTCCTCTGATGAGACTGAAATCGGGGCTGTGGGACGGAAGCATATGGACGGTATCAGAAAGAATGATTTTCGTGAAACTCCGATCAATCTCGAGTGAAGGCTAAATATGTATGTGCATAGCCATGATGATTCCGGTGACGTCGGCATACACGTGCGAGCATTGACAGCACTCTTGTGGATGACTTCTCGCTTGTCCACGGTTCGTTTGGCTTACTACGAGCCGGCGCGACCAGCGACGTTCTCTTCAGCACCTTATATTTGCTCCTCACAACTCGAATACGTATCAATAGGGAACCTAGACGAGTCACTATCCTCTGGTTGTTGAACATGCTGAGATGGTGCGTGGGGTTCTCGGCTTTCCCCGATTCTTGAAGATTTGCGTGCTCCCTGCGAGAAAGATGGACGATCCTATCAAGCCTCACCGGGTCTCAGTCTCTCGCTCAGATTTCCCCTCCTGCCTTGATCGTCATATCCCGGAGCGGAGACTTTTCTATTTGTATAGCGGGCCTCTGAGGTCCTGTACCATCCTCTGACATTTCCACGGGAGTGAACTCGACCAAAAACTCGGCAAAGGACGCATGATGTCGTTGAAAGCAACGAAAGCACAAGGAAGGAGTCAGAGAGTGTTTTAGCTGACCGCTGGGGAAAAACACAGGACGTGTGCGTCCTGGAAGGGAGAGTGCCTTTTTTGTGATTCTCTCGCAAACAGCCTCGACTATCTCGGTTTATCGTCAGCAAACAGGAGATCCAGTTTTTTTTTGCTGTTCGGAAAGGAGAGACAAACCCTTACCTGTGCCGTGGAGTGAGAGCTCGCGCATGAGGTTCCCAGTTAGTGCTGCTCCGGCAAGTCGAACACGGCGCTCTGACTCCCCGCTTGGGACCCGCGTCGTTAAGTCTCGGTATTCACAGCCGAATAAATATAGGGAAATGCCACGCCGTCTATCTCACAATCAGCGAGATAAGATTGATACTATCGGGTTTGCAGCAGAGGGACCCCATTCGGGATGCGATGCAAATTTATTCTGAAGAAATTCAGGGAAAAACAATCTCAAGCTACCTCCGGCTTAGAAGCGTAAGCCTTCCTCCTCTGTCCTACAAGCGCTCTCGGCGGAAAGCTCGACCGAAGTGTTCTCTGCAGCCGAGTGAAGGATGGTGCATAGTCTCAGGAGCGCCCTGCCTTCCGAGCCTTCTGCTTAATGACGCGAGTAAAAGAATCAATATAAAGAGCCTCGATCCTGTCCGCCGTGATTTCCACCGAAATTCCATTGAGATGATAGCGCTCACATCGGATCATAGCTCTCCGTCGTCCGACTCAATTATCGTGCAGAACTTCATTGTCGAGTCCGTTAATCACGCGGAGGACGGACGGCTAGTCCCTGGCGACAAGCCCGCCCCCGTTCCCCCGAAATACAAAATCTCGTTAGAACGAGTTGCAAAGCGAGAGGGTTGGCTTCCCGGAAGCATTGATGCGGAATGTTCCGACTTCTGATTGGCTTATAGTTGAGCCCGTGGTGTCGAAGTTCCGAGAGAGACACTCTTGGGAAGCCGACTCCTAGATTACAGCAGTCAACTCACGGAACAACCTCAGATCGAGAAGCCGCTCGCTCGCTCACCCGCCGAAAGACCTTTCGCTCTGACCCCTGGAAACGTCGGAACTTCCAGCGAAGCGGCAGCAAATCAGCCGAGGAATCGAGAATCTACCTAATCATCGATGTCTGATGGGGTCGGCCGAGCGGAGTATCTTCCGAGGAGTGCGGCCACCACAGACCGTCGTGATTAAGCTGTGCAAAACCGCAACGTTTCCGTGGTTCAGACTCCTGTTCAATGAACCACGCACAGTAATGAAGTCAATAGGTATGGATCCGATGATGAGACCGTCTCCGGTCGAGTAGGCTCGCTGAATGAAAGCTTGTGAGATGGATCGGAGGCTAGGTGAGTCCAAAGCGATCAAGCACGCCTTCTGTTCTTTTTGATCGCCGGCGGTGATCTCCACATGATGACGGCCCGTATGAAAGGGCTCACATCTCGGCTTTTGAATACGAATCCGGTAGATCCAGATGAACGAGTCCCGATCAGCCCTCTTTCTTCGCATGACCGATCGATTCTGTTCTCTCTCCTGCTCTCCCATCCGAAGCCTCAAGGGACTCATGAAGAATCCTCGACGGTTCCAAGGAGTGTATCCCCGACCGTGTTGAGCGGTCCCGGACAAACTTGAACCCGAGTCGTCTCTCTGAACTGTAATCCAGCCAGAGCCATCGAGCCTGTGAACTCACCTTCCCGAGCGGCCGTCGAGTTTCTTCTGAGGACTCAATACTCGGAGAGGAGAGCTCCGGCCTGGTGAAATCATGGCTTGTTGCTTCCCTTATCATCGCCGTCTTTCCACGAACGGATTCCCAGAGTGATACGTTCCTTTCCGTCGAGGAGTTCGCCTCGCCTGTGAGTTTTTCCTGAGACGGTTGTAGCTTTCGTTTCCTAATCGATGACCGATGATCTTCTCAAAACAGGGAGAGGACATATCCGAGATCGCCTTCTTTTATTGAGGAGGAATTCGATGGATGATGTATTCTGACTAGAAGATGGGCGAGAGCCAAAGATCTCGGAAATGATGGACTGGGCCCAGACGCCGAGACGGGACCGAAATTCTGTTCGCAGGTTCTCCTGTAACCGGACTTGCAGGAGTTAGTTTGAAATTCGGGATTCGGTCATTCGGAATGGAGTTCTCCTGGTATCGAACGAAGACGGAGGGGCTCAGACATAAGGCAAGAAAGGGGAAGTGTTGCAAACTGAGAAGACCAAGATACAATACGAGCTCTCCCATCGGAGAGTTCCATGTACTGTCAGCCTTATCTTCCCTCCTGGGAACAAAGGGAAAACCGAGGGAGAACGTCACATTATCTGGGAACCTGCTTCGTATCGACTTGAATTCTTACGGGACAGAGTCTTGATTCACTCCAGTCTCGCGGTCTGAATACTATCGGCAAACAAGGGAAAGGGCATATCCTCCTGGAGGCGACGGGATATCTCGCAGATAAAGTTCCGAATCACAGGAAAGTCCGTCCACATCAAGAGTAAGAGTTCTTTTCTTCAGAAGTAGTGACCTTTGTCGCTCGCGGGCGGGCCTCAACTTCCGCCCTCTGCCACGATCCTGCGAATGAGTCTCGTCTCGAAAGTGCGGATGTTAGAAACTCGGCGCCACTCGACAACCTCGCGCTGTCGCACAGACGGAACTTCGAGGAATAAACAGAAGCTTCCGTCGACAACCGACCAGGCGGTCGTCGAGTGGTGTGCCCCTCCGGCACCCCAAGTGCGGACGGCCCTTTCACTTCATGAACTCCGCTTCTTGAGCAGAGGCCGCGCCGCTCGGTCGACAAGTGAGGAACTCGACCCTTCGACTGCTGAATTCTAGCATGAACTCTCCGCCGGGAATTTTCCGCGGAGTTCAGAGCTAAATGGGTTTCCAATGAATTTCTTCATGAATGATCCGAGGATCTCTGGAGCGCCCCATCCCGCTGCGGCCTTCTGGCCGCGATTGTCTGTTGCGCGGGACATGTCACGGGGAGTTCCAGGCTCCTCTGGAAGTGAGTCGCCCTGCTGGTCGTCATAGAGAATACGGATATGTTTTCAAGGATGTACGAGTGGGTAATTATTATAGCTCGTATTCATACATTGCATGAGGAGTTCGTCTCCTCGGGGAAGACCCGAACCGAATGTCCGAGCTGCGATTTTCAGCGAAAGCTGAAGCTTGGCCTTGAAACATTCGATCTTCAGCATCTGAAACGTGCTGTGCTGCTTCAAACTTTCGTGGCGGAGCGTGCGCACGGAAAGCGTCGGGTTGAGCCAAGAATTATTGGAGAGCTTTGAATAACCTGCTTGAGGACTGCTCGACGCCGCGATGAGCATCGCCATCCTTCGTTGATCTCTTTCTTCTTTATTGTCTCGGACGTATAAGTCGGAATATTCGGTCGAGCTCCTGAGCACCCAGAGAATTGAGGATTGATAGGTGATAAGGACATTCTAAATTGACGAGTAAGGTGTCAGTCAGCGTCCCCCTGCCATGCACGCCCGCTGTGTCGGGACAATTTCGAATAAAATACTGCCATGCTATTGAGGATTACTCTTGAGTCTCGATAATGAATATCCCCGGAGTCTCTACACGGGATCCTCGTTATAACGGACCCGGGTAGGGACGGTCGTTTCAGCGGACCGATAGCTCGGTTCCCGACGAGCCTATGAGAGCTGCAGTGTTACGCGACTGGGCCATGGCGGGCCGTATACCGGACTTCCGACTACGAGGCACAGGTTCCTCGGGCCCGGTCTTATCTCCTACCATGCTGATCAGATCGGTTATTAGTGAGTCATTCTCCCGAGCAGGAAATTCGGAGGCCGTAGCCTACTGGACGATTTGCGAGCGTCATCGGCCATATGCGCGTCGCAACGTGAGAAGGGCTGCAGCGGTCTTTCCGAATATTTACAAGTTCCATTCCGTCTTAGATCCCATCTCCGCATACAATGGAGTTCGGACATGAGGGACCATTTCAGCCGGTCCCTCCATTCTACTGTATTCTGATTACTCCTGTGTGGGTCGCATGGATGCCGTTGGTTGAAGAAACCTGGAAAAAAGGTCAGATATTCCTCTCGCTGAGTTGGGGCATTGGTGCTATTCGAAGGAAGAAATATCTGAGCTCGTCGGATTCCTTCACGAAGGAAAGGGTATTCCCGTACGGGGCGTAGCTCATCGTCAGGATTCAGAGTGGATCCACGTGCTCCCTTCGTGGCCGAGCATCGATTATTATTTTC